GATCGGCCTTATGTACAAGCATGGGTCTTTTTCCAAAGGGGTCACAGCCTTTGCCTCGCGCGACGAGGCTGGACTTTTGGACATTTTCGATTTTTCGACTTTTTCCAAAGGGGTCAGCCTTTGCCTCGCGCACAACTTTTGGAAAAAGTCCAAGTTGGCAGCCAGCCTTGGGCAGGGCTGCACTCAAGTATTGTTCTTTTTTTGAGTTTTCACTTTTGTTAGACTCAACAATGGCGTTGGCACTGCACTCGCCATGACCAAGACAATAGTGTGTGTTCCTAGTGTTAGATTGTAGTTTCGTATCCGAGTTCATTGAGTTCCACACTCGGCCGGTGACAGTGTGTGTTTCCAGTGTTAGATCCTAGTTTCCTATCTGAGCTCATTGAGTTACACTCTCGACCGGCCGAGTGTGTGTTCATATCTGTGTAGTTTCATCATTGAGTCCCACATTCGGCCGGCCGTTGCCAGGCAACTCCCCGCCGAGTTCATCCAAAAGGGTGGGGTCATGCAGGGCCTGCATTTTGTGGTCACCTTTTTTTCGACATTTTTTTGACTTTTTTTGACAAAGTACTTCAGAGTGTGCTGACCAACTCAAAGTGGGATCGTCGAAAAAGTCGAGATTTTTGACGCGTCCGGTAAGCAATGTTAGACCTCCCGTCAACACACGCGCGCCAGACACTTTTTCGACTTTTCGCGTGCGCGCATCAACATGTTAGATCATCGTGCCCATTTCGACTTTTCGAGCGCTCGCATCGGACGTGTTAGATCAACGAAAGCTTTTCGACTTTTCGACTTTTTGACTTTTTGACTTTTCGACTTTTTGACTTTTTCGACTTTTCGACTTTTCGAACGCTCGCATCGACGTGTTAGATCATCGCAACCTTTTCGATTTTTTCGACTTTTTGACTTTTTGACTTTTTGACTTTTCGACTTTTCGACTTTTCGACTTTTTCGACTTTTCGACTTTTCGAACGCTCGCATCGACGTGTTAGATCATCGCAACCTTTTCGATTTTTTCGACTTTTTGACTTTTTGACTTTTCGACTTTTCGACTTTTCGGCCTTTCGACTTTTTCGACTTTTCGACTTTTCGAGCGCTCGCATCGACGTGTTAGATCATCGAAAGCTTTTCGACTTTTCGACTTTTTCGACTTTTTGACTTTTCGCGCGCGCGCATCGACGTGTTAGATCTACGCGATATTTTCGATATTTTCGACTTTTCGACTTTTCGCGCGCGCACAAATGTTAGATCCTGTGAAATATCAACTCCAAAAAAAGTCCGAAATTCCGATGTGGCGCGCAAGGGTCCAAAAAAAGCGTGAGCACCCCACCCCCTGGCAGGGAACGAATTTCCAGGTACCCTTTTGGACCAGTTCCACAGACTCCCCTACCCTGGGATATACGAAAGAGGAGCAAATAGCTCAATGACGAAATCGAAAGTGCAAGCAGCTTAGGCGGCAAGCATCAGTACAAATCGGCAGCAACTGTGAACTTCTCTTTCCTTGAAAATTGGGGCAAATAGCTCATTGACGAAATGGAAAGTGCAAGCAGCTCAGGCGGCAAGCATCTGTACAAATTGTCGGCAACTGTGAACTTCTTTTTTCATGAAAATTGGAGCAAATAGCTCATCGCCGTAATGGAAAGTGCAAGCAGCTTAGGCGGCAAGCATCAGTACAGATCGGCGGTGACTGTGAATTCTTTTTTCTTGAAAATTGAGGCAAATAGTTCGTCGACGAAATGGAAAGTGCAAGCAGCTTACGCGGCAAGCATCTGTACAAATTGTCGGCAACTGTGAACTTCTTTTTTCATGAAAATTGGAGCAAATAGCTCATCGCCGTAATGGAAAGTGCAAGCAGCTTAGGCGGCAAGCATCAGTACAGATCGGCGGTGACTGTGAATTCTTTTTTTCTTGAAAATTGAGGCAAATAGTTCGTCGACGAAATGGAAAGTGCAAGCAGCTTACGCAGCAAGTATCTTTACAAATCATCAGTGACTGTGAACTTCTCTTTTCCTCCTTTCAGATTGAAGTCGCTTGCCTTCGGGCTTGCTTGATGTCTCTGGGGAGCCCTTTCAGATTGAAGTCGCTTGCCTTCGGGCTTGCTTGATGTCTCTGGGGAGCCCTTTCAGATTGAAGTCGCTTGCCTTCGGGCTTGCTTGATGTCTCTGGGGAAGATCTTGGCTTGGTTCTGACAGGCTCTACTGTGCCGTTTCATCACCACTCGAGCGAGCTCGTGGTGAGGACTCGAAACAGTTTTGACTGCTAGAATCAAAGTCCTGATGTGTTGTGTTCCAAAAAACCGGGAACCTCACCTCGCATAGAGTTCTCCGCTTAGGCGTATCGACGAACCAGGCGAATAGTGTGGAGCCCACGCCTGCTGATCCCCTTTTGTGGTTGAACGGTAGAGGCGAAAACATTAAAGTCGGGAAAGTCTTTTTTAGTTTTTCTCGCAATGGCGAATGAGGTGAACATCCTTGCCGATGGCTAGTCCTAAAGCATTTATGTAACACCAAATTCACTCGGAGGTGCGGACGCTTTGGAGTTTTTTTTCTTTATGGAATCAACAAAATCGCATCTAGCCTCCACCAAGGGGTGGCCTAAGCTACGTTTTGTCGGTCCATTTGAACAGGCAACTGTTTCGAAACTTTCAAACGCGTATGCTTGGTTTTCA